CCCCTGTTCATGCTGTCTCTCTCTCTCTCAGAAATAAATAAAACATAAAAAAAAAACAACAACAAAACAAAACACAAGTGTTGACAAGAATGTGGAGAAGCTGGAACCCTCGTGCACAGGCATTGGGAATGTAAATTGGTGTAACCACTGTAGAAAACAGTATGGAGGCTCCTCCAAAAATTAAAAATAGAAATACCATATGATTTAGTAATTCCACTGCTGGCTATTTATCCAAAGAATGAAAATACTAGTTCAAAAAGATATATGCACTCCTATGTTTATTGAAGCCAAGGGGTTATCTACAGTAGCCAAGATATGAAAACAACCCAACTGTCTATTGATAGATGAATGGATAAAGAGGATGTGATATGTATATTCAATGGAATATGATTCAGCCATAAAAAGGAGAGAAATTCTGCCATTTGTGAGATGGATGGAACTTGAAGGCACTATGCTAAGTGAATTAAGTTAAGAAATTAAGTTAAGAAAGAGAAACATCATAATATTTCACTTATATGTGGGATCTAAAAAATCCCCAAAACTCATAGAGACAGAACAGATTGGTTGAAAGAGGCAGGGGTTGGGGGTAGGGGAAATGAATGAAGGTGGTCAAGAGGTACAAACTTCCAATTATATGATAATAAGTTCTAGAGATGTAATGTACAGCATGGTGACTATTTTATTTTATTTTTATTTGAGAGAGAGAGAGAGAGAGAGTGAATGGAGGAGAGGGGCAGTAGGAGAGAGAATCTTAAACAGGCTCCATGCTGAGCACAGAGCCCGATGTGGAGCTCAATCCCATAACCCTTGGATCATGACTGAGCCAAAATGAAGAATCAGACACTCAACTGACTGAACCATCCAGTCGCCCCAACATGGTGACTATTTTTAAAAGAAAAAATTTTAAGGTAAATAATATCTGAAAACTATGATACTTTACTTAACTTTTAAAATCAATATTAGGGGTTCCTGGATGGCTCAGTCAGTTAAGTGTCCGACTTCGGCTCAGGTCATGATCTCACAGTTTGTGGGTTTGAGCCCCACGTTGGGCTGTGTGCTTACAGCTAGCTCAGGGCCTGGAGCCTGTTTCAGATTCTGTATCTCCCTCTCTCTCTGACCCTCCCCTGCTCACGCTGTCTCTCTCTCTCTCAGAAATAAATAAAATGTTAAAAAAAAATTTTAAATCAATATTAAATATAAGAAGGTTTAAATCATAAGAAGACTGACCCTGATCTTATATAAAGCAAAATATTTTGTGCTGGTATTATTTTTACACGACAAATTTAAATTTAAAGACATTGGATTATGCCAAAAGCTCTTCTTTTATCTTTGAACTAAGGCCTTTTCTTATCTTATTCTATAATAACAAAGCCTATTACATAAATATACTTTTCAGTGCCCACTAAGGAAACACATATAATTTAACAATTAGTTTAAACATGTTTGTTTAACTAGATTAGATATTTCTAAAGTGCACACATTCAACAGAATAATTTCCTAGTTAATCTTTAAAGTCTCCCAAGAGAAGACAATGGACAGCAAAAAAGTGAGAGGTAGCTACTTAAGGCAAATATAAAATTATCACTCTAAAAGGCTAATCCATGTTTTTCCTGCAAGGAGAGGGAAAACAGTTTAAATGTAAAAAACAAACAAGCACATTTTGACATAATACACACACACACACAGTGATATTCCAGCCTATTTAAAAAAATAAGTAAGCCATTTGGCAATGTAATAGAGCTAGCTATACAATTAAAAAGTCAGCATTTATTAATCTCCAAAATATGGCAAGGAAATAATCACCTATGTTAAACAAAATAATCTCTCTCTCCCTCTCCCTCTCTCTTTTTAGGTAGGCTCTACATCCAATATGGAGCTTAAACTCACAACCCTGAGATCAAGAGTGGCACGCCCCACTGACTGAGCCAACCAGGCACCCCATAAAATAATCCTTTTGCCAAATAATCTCCTCAGGAGATTTTCTTCCTTTTTTTGTTCTGAGGTACTTCTCAAATAAATAATCTTGTTAGGGGTCACTGCAATTCTAACTCATCCCTAGTGTCAGAGAGATAAGGGTACACGTTAATGTGATTGTGAGAAGGAAGCAGGTATTTGGCTCAGTTTTAGTTGCGACACAGATCCATAAGGATGGCGCTGTGCGACCCTGCATCTGCAGAACGTTGCCAAAGACCAATTTTCATGGACGAGGACCAGAGAAAATGTCCTGATTCTGGTCAGAAGAAATGAAACAAAGAAGTTTTCAAGGATACAAACAAAACTGAGGAAGACCTTGTAGCAATTTAAAATGGCAATCTGGGGCAAAGTTTATCCAAAAGACACTGGTCCGAGGATACCTTTTGAATTTCATAGACTCTAAGACTCAATGTAGTACAGACTCATTGTAGTACAGTTGGGTATTGGCTGATGGAGTGATTTGTCTGTTTCATTCTGGTAACAAATGACACTTAAGCATACTAACTAGTTATATGACCCCTTCTTAAAGGGACAAGTGGTGGCCAATCACTAGAGTTTGAGCAGTAACAGGTTTGTGATGCCCTCAGACATCTAGAGCTGCATACCCGTCCTTTCCCTAGAAACATTTCCTCTTATAGACAAATGCCATTTAAAACGCTAGATAAGAAGGACAGACCATAAGAGCAGGTATAAAAAACCCAAAAACAATTTTACTAAGGAAAAATAAAAATCTAATTGGATAACCAAAAAACCAACGGGGACCTTATACCAAGGAAAACAAAATAATCCCAAAGCATAAGCGTCTTAACAAAATATCAGAGCTCAATATAGTGAGAACTTGGCTCCCAGGCATGGACAGGATGGCACATCAGAAACACAAGAGATCTCCGGTGTGTCCATTACTACTAGAGTTGAGGGTTCCTGTCCAAGGTGGTGAGGGCTTTAGCTGAATCTCTGTGGATTCCCCATTTCTGACAATGCCCTCCAGCCAAAGACCAGCAGGAACACACCTGTAGTTACGCAGGGGCAATGGCACACCATGGGGAACCCCATCATGGATATCTCAGCACGTATGTTTTAGGAAGGACTTATTACAGGATTTGGGCTTGTGTTTGATGATTTTCAAGGAGGGTTTGAGAAAGGGGAGATTTGCTCTAGGACGGAAGCTGTCAAGAGGCGGGGGATAATTCTTTTTTGGTTATCTTAATAATTCCTATCTAGAATTTAGAGGAATGGGTCAGGGATTAAAGCTGTACTTGGTAAAAAAAAAAAAAAAAAAAAAAAAGGCAGTCACTCACACTGTGGGGGAAGGGGTTATGTTTGGTCATTTTTGTGGTTTGGACAGTGATTCTTGTTTTTGTGTTCAGACATGATTATGAAATGGTCTTTCTCTCAATCCATCAGAGAGTGCCTTTGTCTGATGTTGGGAGTTCTGTGAATTGTTTATGCTCGACAGGATAACACCATAGCCTGGCTGATAGTGCCAGGCCCGCTCCTAGCAATACCAAGGCTTCTAGAGGGAGAGTGCCAACTAGCTCCTAGCCGTGATGGGCTGCTCTTCTCTTTTTCACCAGCTACCCTTGCAAAATCAGATTTGGCAATCCCTTCTGGTAAAACATGAACTCTTTGGGTCTCCCCGGGCCCCGTTCCTCCCCAATGCCTTATAATGGTCCAGCCCACTCATTTACACTCCTGTCCCCTGACACTGACATCTGCAACCCTCGCTAAGCAAAAAAGGAACAAAGCCCGGAGAGAGATGACTTGCCTAGGCTCACCCAGTGAACGGGTAGGATGGTGGAAACTACAACCCTTTCCCCCTGCTAGACATTAAGGTCCCTTGTTAAATCTCTGAAGTATCTGCCTCTGGAAGGAAAGTAGATCCAGTCAGATAAGACTGTCTCGTCAATAAGGTGTTCCTATCTTATTCCTTCTTTCTTTCGGGATTGGGTGTCTCACGACATTAACCGGCATTCTGAGACCCTTGCTTGGCTGCTGCAGCCACCTTGACATTCATTCTGCTTCTCAAAACCACCAAGCGTGTCCCGGGCTGGGGTCTGTGTATGTGTCCTTCCCTCTGCCTGGAACTCTTGTCTGTCACACCTCCACGTGGCCCCGTCTTCTCTGCTTCAGCCCCGCAACACCTCCTCAGGGACGCACTCCCTGAAGACCTTAGCTACTCACACCCTGCATGCCCTAGCACTACTGTCACCATCTCTGGAAGGCCACCTCACAGTAAGTAGCCTCTTGTAAGAGTTTCCCTTGGTGCTTTGTTCGCAGCTCTTCTGAGTTTGTCAAAAATGCGGGGATGGGAGGCGGGAAACCTTGCCTATCACACACACGAAGCGCGCTGAGGGCAGAGACCCAACCACGCGGAAGGGACCTCGCTTTCCACAACAGCCATGTAGCCAGGGCCTCCTCCACTCACAGCCCCCGACTCGCGGAGGGGCGCGCACCTTGGGCAAGCCCCGCCCCGTCGCAGGCGGTGCTGTGCCTCCCAACCCGGCCCAAGGCCAGCACGCATGCTCCGCACCGCCGGCCTGCGAGGTCGGGGGCGGGACCTTGAGGCGCCTGCGCAGTTGCTCGGCCCCGGCTTCCGGGCGGCGTCGGCGCGATGGAGCTGAGGGCTAGTGCCGCGGAGTAGCGGCGGCGTGAGGGCGTGCGGGCCGGACGGTGTGGCCCGAGGGCTTGGCTCTCAGGGTATTTGGGAGCCGCGGGAGGGTGCGGAGACAGCCTCGGATAGCCGTCCGCCGCCACCACCCCCGCCCCCCGGCATGTCGGCCGAGGCCTCGGGCCCGGAGGCGGCCGAGGCCCCGTCCCTGGAAGCGCCTAAGCCCTCGGGTCTCGAGCCTGGCTCCGCCGCCTACGGTCTGAAGCCGCTGACCCCGAACGGCAAGTATGTGAAGCTGAACGTGGGCGGCTCTCTGCACTACACCACGCTGCGCACCCTCACCGGACAGGACACCATGCTCAAGGCCATGTTCAGCGGCCGCGCAGAGGTGCTCACCGATGCGGGAGGTACGCCGCGCCGCCGTTGCCTGTGTGGTCCTCCATCCTCCAGATCCCGGTCCTGCCTTTCTTCGCCCGGCCTCTACCCCCTTTCTCGTCTCTGTCGTCGAGTCAACTCTTTTCACCTCCCTCCAGCCCCACATCCCGTCTTCTCTCCCCTTTCTCATTCATAATACCCCTCCTCCCTCGGTCCTTCACCCCCAGCAGTAACCAACATTTCTGGAACATCACCGCCCCCCGCAACAGGTGCTTTGGTTAAGTGATTCAACGTGTCGCTTCAGAATTTTTATTCTCCCTCCCCTCCAGTTCTCCCACCCTTTACTCCTCAGCTCAGACGACTTGGGAACCAGCCCTGCTGCCAGCAGCGCCCTTCCAGGCAGCCTTCCTGTTCCTCCCAACTGCCCAGCCTTACGTTTGCTTCTCTACCTCAGCACTGCTAACAACCCGCCGGGAGGAGGTGTCTCTTTGTGTGTTCCCCTAACACAGGTCCCTGTACACTCTGGGGATTCATCTGTAAATGCAGATTGTAGAAAAAGGCCGCTTTGGGTTTGCCAGGGACACCAGAATGGAGGGTGGACAGTTCTCTTTGGCAGGTGAACCTTACCTTCCTACCTTGACTTCAGGGTTGGATGGCACATGCCCAGGTGGAACCTTAAAATTTTGGGGGGGGAGGGGTGTGGTTTAGAGGGATATAACAAGGATTGTAAGAGCAGGGAAATTAAAATTTGAGAGGTGGAGTTCAGTCTTCAAATATCTGAAGTTGAAGAATGTATTTATTCAGCAAGTATCTGTAAAGTGCCAGTTAGTGCCCGAGATACTTTGGTAAATGAATCAAACAAGATTAGTCTTGGGGACTTTACTTTCTTGTGGGGGCAGGAGGAAAAATAATAAGCAAGTACGCATGCGAAAAAATACATGTACTTGTAGATAGTAATATGTTCAATGAATAATATAAAGTTTAAAATGGTAGTGAACTAGAGGATGGGGTAGACATTTTAATTCAGTAAGGTGGTCAGAATTAACACCACAGGTTAGAGTTTGTGGATATGGTAATCTGTAATAACTTCCTCATGGTGAGAACTTTTTCAACGGGGGACAGACTTGGAAGGCAGTTAATTCTCTGTGTCTACATATGTTAAAAAGGGACCTATGGGAGAACTCACTGGAGATTTTTTTTAAAGGGATTTTTTGGGGGATGGCAGAGGTTGAAGACAAATCAGTATTCAGACTTGAAGTGGAAAAATCTGTTTTTCATAGAATTTTAGTAGCTCCGGAGTCACCTGCAAAGCCAGCCTTCCTCCTGCCTCTCTCCACCCCACCAGGTTGGGTGCTGATTGACCGGAGCGGCCGCCACTTTGGTACAATCCTCAACTACCTGCGGGATGGGTCCGTGCCACTGCCCGAGAGTACCAGAGAGCTGGGGGAGCTGCTAGGAGAAGCGCACTACTACCTGGTACAGGGCCTGATTGAGGACTGCCAGCTAGCACTGCAGGTGAGGGTCCCTGGGTCCCACCCTACGCCCATGTCCCCAGGAGAGCTGTCCAAGCAGTTAGATACTAGGACATTAAAAAAGAGAGAGAGGGAAGAGGCATATGGGGTACCGTCCAGAGACGGTGCCTGTGGCCTGGCTGTGACTAGCCATGACCGCAGAAAATTTGGGGGTGCTTTCCACTATATCCCTGCTGCCTCAAGAAGGACTTCCTTCGCCACCTCGTGCCAGGACTACTGCAGTTGTTAAATGACTGCTGTCTCCTTGCTGTTCCCACCTGGCTAATTGAACTCTCACGCTACCACCTGAGTGATGATCCTTAAACACAATCCCAGTCTATTCTCCTCCTTGCTCAGAAATCTTAAGTAACTCCATGGGCCACTAGGAAAAAGAAAATTCTAAATTTAAACTAGAATGTAATGACCTGTGTGATTTGGTTCTGTCTTGGGAGACAGCATTCCACCTCCAGCCAGGTTTGGGGTTTTTTTTTTTTTCCTTTTCTTTTTTTAATGAAATCCTAGAAGCAGAACTGCTCCCAACACAACAGGTTGGGGGTTCCAGAGCCCCCAACTGCTGGGCTTCTCTTCTGTGGATCTCTTAGGATTCTGAGGAGAAGAGCTTAGAAAGCATAGCCAGGACCTGTGGGTTAAGTGTCACCTCTTCTACCGCTCACCGAGTGACCTTGATTGAGTCAGTTTCTACCTCTGGCATTCTGTCCTCATGTTCCAAAAGATAGGGAAACAAGAAAAATATGTACAGTGTAGTAAGTTTTACATAAGCCTTTTATTCTGTTTTACAATGTTAAAAATGTCCTTTCTTTTATGATACAATATTAATAGGAGATTATGAGGCTTTTTTTTTTTTTGAGGCTTTTTTTATGCCCTCTATGTATTAAAAAGTGGCATCTGTGAACAACTTTCTGTTGTCTTGGTGAATACTTCTCGAAATCCAAAAATAATAGAGTTCCTTTGGGCAATATCCATGTTTTTCAAACTGCATCCCATAGAAGAAAAATGCATTTTATACTCACATATATATATATATAACTTAAATAAGAGTTTTATAAAATGATATTTAGTGAAATACACACTGATATATTCTGTTCTCTTTTTAATGCTCTTTGGGACCCATTAAACTTAGTTCATGACCTATTAATGAGTAACCACTGGCAGTTTGAAAAACATTACATTAGATGATCTTGAAAGCGGGTCCCTGCGTTGTAGTTCTACATTTCTCCAGTGTCACCTCACACCCACTGTGTGTCAGGAGCAATCCTGCTCTCTATTTGTGCGTACATCTTGTACCCCTGTTCAACATAAAGGAGGGAAGTGGGGGATGCATCTGAGGTGAAAGAGCCAGTAAGCTGCAGAGCTCCGATTCCCAGGTGCAGTGCTTTTCCCTCTGTGCTCCAGCTGCCTCCTTTCCAGATTTCCTTGACACCATTCCCATCCTCACCCCACTCAGAGTTTTCTTGTTTGGATTTGTTTTTGTTGTTAAGATTTGAGGATAGAGGATTGAGTTCATCATACTCCTCAGTGTGTGGTACTTGATCATTGGTGTATACAAATCTTTTCCCTTTTTATTTTTTCCCCCGTCATTCCCAGTCCCTTGCCCATTTCCCTGTGACCCATAGATACCCCTCCAATTCCAATGTTTTGATACATATACTTGGATTATGCTTGTACCCCTGAAAAGCTAAAAGCATTGTTTTATGTATGTACGCGTTTTAAATTCCATAAATGGCATTGAGCTATGGATTGTGTTTTCTGTTTCTTAATTCAACACTTTTTTCAAGATCTATTCACGTTGCTATATGTACATTTAGTTCTTTACTTCTGACTGCTGCACAAGAATCTATGGTGTGTATTCACCACATTTTATTTATACATTCCCCTGAGGTTGGAGACCTAGATTGCCTCCTACTTCCTTCCCCTACAAATAGTGCCACCTGCCACTGTGAGCGTCCTTATACATGTGCCCTTGTGGGTCCCGGGCCAGGGTTTCTTGTGTTTGGGAGTCACAGAACACATACAAATGAATTTCAGCAAGTATCATCAGATTAATCTCTCCCACTTTATACTCTTGGTCAGCAGGGCATAAGGGATCTCGTTTCTGCATATTTTCAACAACACGTGGCATCATCTAGTGTTCTAATTTTGTAAATCTGATTGGTATGGAGTGATCTCATTTTAATTTGCATGCCTCTGATTACTAATGAGATTGAACATCTTTTCATATGCTTACTCACTTTTTTGGTTTCCCCTTCTGTGAATTGCCTATTCATATTCTTTACCAAATTTTCTACTGAGTTTCCTATCTTTTTTCTTGTTGCTTTGCAGAAGATCCTTGCATATTTTAGTTTAGTTCCTAGTGAAAATTAAGCCCTAAGGCATGTATTGTACGTAATAAATTTATTCTCCTTCTGTGCATCTAGAATGGTGCTGTTTGCCTATCATCCTTGGAAGAATTGAGAAAATAGTTACTCAAATTATTTATTTGCTGGGTTTTGTGATTTGGGTGAGGAGTCCTAGTTGCGAAAGTCTGTTTCAGATAATTTCTAGTCAGTTTTAATTGTGGCCAATATTTTCTCTTGAAATGTCATCTGTCTGTGGCATCTGTTGTTGAACAGAAATCCTTGTTTTTTTTTTATTATAAGTAACCATTTGTTATTTTTAAAGCAATATATGTATGTATTGTAGAAATTTAGAGAACACAGATAATCAAAAAAATAAAAGCACCAAATATCCTTCCAGGTCTATTCGTGTGTGTGTGTGTGCGCGCGCACGCATGTGTGTGTGCATGTGTGTGCGCCAAAATACAGTCATGCTGTATGTGCTGTTTTGTAATCTGTTTTTTTTTGTTTGTTTGTAATATTTGCCATCTTTCCATGTCAATAAAATTTTTTCTTAGCTAACATCCAGGGAATATACAAATTTCTCATTTGTTCCAGAAACATCTTTTACAGCTGATTCATCTAAACCAGGACCCAGCCTAGATCCTTGCATTACATCTGATTATTATGTTCTTTAAGTGTTCTTCCAACTGAAAATCATCGCAGTTTGTTCATGCTGACTTGTTAAAGAGACCACCAGCTGTCCTGCACAGTGACCCACTTTCTACATTTGTGTGGTTGTTCAGCTGTGGTGTCATTTGGTTTGTTACTCTACCCTGTTCTGAGTTTTCTGTAAACTAGACAGTAGATTTAAAGCCTTGATACTAAACATTTTGGTTAGAATACCTTTTAGGTAGTTTTATATATTTCATACTGTATTATATGGAGTGATCCATAATATTGTAACTATGACCCATTATTGGTAATGCCTAGAATTGGCCCCTAGATTCAGGTGATAATGGTTTGATCCCTCCATTATAGTTACAATTCCTTGATGCCAGCTATAAACCAATCTGTGTAATGTATGCGCTGTGTGAATGGCTGTTGAGAATCCTTATCTGAATCAATAATTTCATTAGGGTTGTAGAATAATTCTAATTCTAATTGTTCCTTCAACATTATTACTTGGGATTATTCGTAAAGTCATGGTTTCCATTGTTAGCTGGAGAAATTCCCGATTTTTTTTTAACGTGTTTTGTTGTTTTTTTTTTTTAGAGAGAGAGAAACAGTGTGACTGGGGGAGGGACAGAGAGAGAGGGAGAAACAGAATCCAAAGCTGGCTCCAGCCTCTGAGCTGTCAGCACAGAGCCTGATGTGGGGCTCGAACTCACAAACCATGAGATCATGACCTGAACCAAAGTCGGCTGCTTAACCAACTGAGCCACCCAGGTGCCCCAAGAAATCTTGTTTTTAAAGTCAAATTCCTCCCTCCCCTTTATTTCCCCCCTTAATGGTATATCCTTTTAGGGTCTTGCTTAAAAATGTTTTTTTTTCCATTCTACATCTTTTATTAGCTTTATAGTTTTATCTTTCATATATGGGTCTAAATGGAATTCCCTATTATAAATATAAATTATGAAGGGATTTAACTATTTTTTGTCCTCCATAGAGTGAGATAGTTTTCCCAATGCCACCTACTAAATATTCTGTGGTAGCCAGTGTCTAAGATACCCACCAGCAATTCTTCCTCCTTATGCAGGCTCTTGTTTAGTCCCCTCCCACTCTGAATAGGGCTGACCTATGTAACCAGTAGGATATTGCAGAAGTGATAGTGTGTGACTTCTAAAGCTAAGTCATAAAAGACATTGCAGTTTCCGCCTGTATCGGATTACTCAGTCTGGGGGAAGCCAGCTGCCACATGAGCACAAGGGAGAGTTTACCTGGTAAGGAACTAAAGTTCCCTGCCAATCAATAGCCAGCACAGACTCCCAACCATATGGGTGAACTATCTCAAGCAGATTCTCTAGGCCCAGTCAAGTCTTCAGTCCTGGCCAACGTCTGGACTCCAACTTCATGAGGTGGTTCCTGGGCCAGGACCACCCAGCTAAGGTGATCTCAAGTTCCCAGTCCACAGAAACTATGTGCGATAATAAATGTTTATTGTTTTAAGTTGCTAAATTTATTGTAATTTGTTACCCAGCAGTAGAGACAGATTGGGTATCTGGAGTGTGGTTCTGTGGTAACAAAACTCTAAAATGTAGGAGTGGCTTTAGAACTGGGAAGTGGGTACAAGTTGGCATGACTTTGAGAAGAATATTAATAAAAGCCCAAAGAACTTTAAAGGGTCTGTTCACAGAAATCTGATGACCTTGGAGTAGGCTGGTGGGGTGAAAATGGTACTGGAAACTGGTGTAAAGGGAATCCTTGTTATGAAGTGGCAGAAGCTTAACGACACTGTCTCCTATACAGTAATGTAGAAAGTGGAAAATGTGCCTAATGATCTGGATGATGTAGCTAAAGAGGTTTCCAGAAAGAATGTTGAAGGTGCCACCGGGTTTATTGTTGCTGGTAGTAAAATAGAAGAGGAGAGAGTGAGCAAGAGGAAAAACAATTGAAGACAAAGGAGCCAAGTATTACAGGGTTTGAAAATCCCCAGCCTTTCCAGGTAATGCATGATGTTAAAATTAACAAATGGCTTCCAGGCAAAGATCAAATATAGGGCATTCTCAGTAAAACATGATCTAAAGATGAAACTGAGGATATGATTGTAAATCCTTTGTTGAGACTTCAGAAATATCCAAGAAGATGCCTCAGAGAACCTTTTAATCAAATAATAGTGCTTCTAAGAAGCTTAAGGGTGTTGCCCCTCTGCAGTCTCAGCACAAGCCCAGAGTACAGAAGAGCTTATCTCACAAAGATTTGTGAATGTGGCATTTGTCTAATGAACTGAACCCCAAGACTCACTAGACACCCATTAAGTTTTTAAGAGAATTATACTAACAGAAACACTGCCAGCTTGGACCAAAAGTGACAGACCGTGCAAGATCTTTAGACCCCCAGAATTCTACCAGCAGGAAACCATGGAGCTGCAACCATGGATTATCTTTCATGGAAGAGGAAGGATGACTCAGGGCAGAGCCAAGAGCCATAGAGAATCATTTCTGGACAAGAGTAGGCGTCAGAGAGCTCCCAACATTCACCCAACTGCATTACAGAATTGGTATGAAACAGTGACTTCTGTGGGCCACCTCCCTCCTCTCCAACCTTTTGAACAAGAGTGCCCTGGTGATTGTGCTGATGCCGGTCCGCTGCGTAGTAGGTGTATGGGAGAGACCAGTGGTCTCTTTAGTTTCTAGGTCTTTAGATCGAGTGGAAATGCACTTACGGAACATAGTTAAGGCACTACACCTAAGTAGCCTCATCCCAGCCTACACTGACTTAGATAACAAAATTCTGTACTTCAAGTGATGCTGTAATGGGGTAAGACATGGGGGGGATCTTGGAAGGGAGGGAGTGTGTTTTTCAATGGGAAGGATTTGAATCAAAGGAGCCAGAAGGTGGCCTGTAGAGTTAGCCCCCAAGTCAGTCCCCAGTGATTCTTCTTCCCTAGTATTCATTCTTTTATGTAGTTTCCTTCCACACTGAACAGAGCTGACAAAACTTGGTCATGAAAGACATTGAGCCTGTCACCTTTGTCTCTCGGATCATCTGCTCTGGAGAAGCCAGCTGCCATGTTGCAAGGACATGCAAGCAACCCTATGGAGAGGTCCAGATGACAGGGATGAGATGTTTCCTGCCAACAGCCAGCGTGAACTGGCCAGTCCTGTGAATAAGTTTTCTCAGACACAAATCCTCCAAATCAGGCATGCCTTCAGATTCCTGCCTCATTGGGTGACTTGACTACAACCTCAAGAGAAACCCCTATGCCAAAATGACCCAGCTAAGCCACCCCTGAATCCCTGACCCACAAACACTAAGATAATAAATATTTATTGTTGATTTAAGCTCCTAAGTTTGGGGATAGTTCGTTACACAGCAATAACCAATACATACTTCATGCTTGCCCCCACTGATATGTGGTGTCTTCTTTATAAATATGTTTTCATATATATACTAGCCTGTTTCCAAACTCTCTGTTGTGTTCCATTGGTTTCTTGTTTGTTCCCCCAAACCAAAACCATAACCATGTTTTTTTCTTCAGTATGGCTTTGTAGGATAATATATGATAGTGTCAGTTTTTCCTCTTGGTTCTTTTTAGAAATTGACCTAAGTATAGGCTTTTATTTTTCCATATTAATTTTAGAAAAAGTTGTATCAGGTTTTGTTTTTTTTTTTTTTTAATGTTTGTTTGTTTTGAGAGAGAGAGAGCACAAGCCAGGGAGGGGCAGAGAGGGAGGGGAGAGAGATTTCAAGCAGGCCCAATGCGAAGATCAAACCTGCGAACTGGGCAAGACCATGACCTGAGTTGAAACCAAGAGTCAGACGTTTCACTGACTGAGCCACGCAGGTGCCCCATTTTTAAAAAATCTTCTGGAGTTTCTGGTTAAGAAAGAGATCTTCTGGTTGAGAGAGGTGAAAGGGGTTTTGGCATAAGAATTCTTAGAAAAGAGGAAAGAAGCCCATGTATCTGGTTTTGCCTCAGACCTCATCCTAGCCAACCAGGTTCATTTAGTCAGCAGACACTGAGCATCCACTGTGTACTAGGACTCCCTAGGTGAGAAGAGACCAGATCATAAGCAAACATACCCCAAAATGAAAAGATGTAAAGAACTAAGAGCCACGAGGAATGAGCTGCTAATGTGAAAAGGAGGTAGAGGAGGCTGCTTTAGTCAGGGTGCTTCAGGAGACAGACCAGCACCCTCTGAGGGGTACTGTTTGAGTTATCTGAATGGTATGCAGGGGCCAGCCCTGCAGACAACAGTGTAGACCATTCCAGGCAGTGGGAACAGCAAAGGGCTGGGTAGGCACAAAGAACAGGCCATGGGTGAGGCTGGAGCCCAGCAAGCAGGGAAGAGTGGTAGAGAGGAGATCAGAGAGGTTGGATCCTGCAGAGCTTTGTGAACCACTAAGGAGTCTGAATTTTTTTTCCCAATGGCAGCAAGCAGCTTTTGAGCTTTTAAGTGGGGAAGTGAGTGACCTTGGTTGTGCTGTTAACCACCTTCCGCTTCTTCTCCAGCAAAAAAGGGAGAACCTGTCCCCGCTGTGCCTCATCCCCACGGTGACATCTCCCCGGGAGGAGCAGCAGCTCCTGGCCAGCACCTCCAAGGTGAGGCCCCTGAGCCCTGTAGGGTGGAGGCTGGGGGCCTCTCCCTGCAGCCTGACCCCCACCCTTCTCCATGCTCTCTCCACCAACAGCCCGTGGTGAAGCTCCTGCACAACCGCAGTAACAACAAGTACTCCTACACCAGGTGATCACCACGGGGCGGGACGTGCACTGGGTGGAGTCCTGGGCTCAAGTCCAGCCCTGGTCTGGGCCCGGGGGAGGGGCAGAGGGACAAAGAGAATGCCTGCCTGGAACCCTGGAAGAGGGTTCCAGCTCTGCCCACTGGGGACTTTGGGCAGGTCATTTTCACTCCTGAGCTTCAGTGTGATCACTGGTAAAAAGGCGAGGATTAGATGATAACGGCTTGCGTTTACTAAGTGTTTTTTCATAGCAGGCATTGCTGTCAGTGCTTCACATATGTTAACTCCCATCCTCACAGTTGTTTGAAGTCGGTACTGTTGCGATCTCCATTTTACAGATGAGGGAACTGAGGCACCAAGAAGTAAAGTAACTTTCCTGGTGTCACTCAGTTAAAAAGTGGCTGGTCTAAGACATGAGGTGAAGCAGCCCAGCCCCAGGGCATGCACCGTTAGCCACTCTGCTGTGCTGGGATTTGCTCTGCAGATGCTGGTCCTCTCTGAGGCCCACTTAGCCTGGCCCCAGGGGTGGAGGAAGCTCCCAGGTGGGCACCAAACCCCTGGGCATGACCAGAGTGCTGGGTAGGGGGGTCCGTAAGTTGGGGAAACAGTGGGCAGGAAGCCAGTGTACTGAGGCCTCCTGACCCCTGGTTCTCAGCACTTCGGATGACAACCTGCTTAAGAACATCGAGCTATTTGACAAACTGGCCCTACGCTTCCACGGGCGGCTGCTTTTCCTCAAGGATGTACTGGGGGACGAGATCTGCTGCTGGTCCTTCTACGGCCAGGGCCGCAAAATCGCCGAGGTGTGCTGCACCTCCATTGTCTATGCCACGGAAAAGAAGCAGACCAAGGTCAGAAGGGGTTCAGAGCCTGATCAGGGAGGGCTGTGGTGGTGGGCAGCACCAGGACCCTGGATTGGACAAAGGCAGCTCAGCAGACCAGGCAGCGGAAAGTCCATTACTGGGAGCCAGGAGCCGTAGTTCCAAGCTCCGGAGTCTTTTGTAACCTTGGGCAAGTCACCTTACTTCTGTGGGCCTCTCTTTCTCTGCCATAAAATGAGGGCGTTGCATTGCAGTGGGATTCTTTACCTAGGCCATTTGTGTTTCCAGGCCATCTGGAAGTGGTTTGCAAGTTTGGGAGTGTGTTTGCATCTTTCCATGTAGAAGGACCATAGTTGTTAAGAATCTCAGAAGGGTCCATGACCCAAAATAGTTTCTTAAAACCTCAGGACCTTAGAACACACAAGTTTCTTAGAACAAGTGCGTTTATAATTCCTTAGTCATTAACATGGCAGTCATCAGCAGATAACTTCCTGAGCACCTACTCTGCACTAAGCATTGCACCAGACGTGAAATCTAGGTGAATGAAATGCCTGGTAATGTACCAGCCCTTATGTCATCCACTTCCTTCTGACCTTGATATGAAGGAAGTGCCTCAGATACACAAGTCTCTGAGCCCCCAGTGCTATCTCATACCTCCCCACCTTTGCACACACTATTCCTCTTCTTGAACTATTTCCTCATCCCCATCTGCCTAATGAACTTGTGCTTAATCTTTAAGACACAGCCAAGCACAGCTTTCTTTGGGACAGACACCTTCGCTCATGAACTTTCAACCCCTCAAACCCAAAGTTGATCATAATTCCTTCTTAGTCAGCATCAGGCAGAGGCAGGGTAGGGGGTTGTTACATCAGCAGCAACGGGTTAGCTTCTTGAGGGTAGGGGTCTATCTCTTCTTCCTATATCTCTAGTACTAGACAGGCACTTACCACACAGTGAAAGCTAGGAAACGCTGATTGCATGGATGGATGGATGGATGGATGAATGAAAGACCAACCCAACTTCCAAGAAGTTTCCACTGTGATAGAGACAAGAAGATAAACCAGTAATGAGAATGTAGGTTGTTAAGAGTTAGTTATATCCTCCAGGCCACACAGAGACCCTCTGTCACCTCCTCACTTGACTCCTTTCTACTCTCTCTGCTGCCTCTTTCCTGCCGATAGTCAAATACACACTCTACTAAGTGCACTCGTGCCCCAGAGCTCTTGCTGTTGCCTGTTCCCGACTGCTCTTTCTCTGCTTGTCCCACCCGCTTGTTCCCTCCCCTCCTTTGACTCTTGGTTGAATGTCACCTTTTCAACAAGACCTTCTCTGAACTCCCTTTCTAAAATTGTAACATTCCTGGCCATAACCATGCCCACCCCTTTTTATTACATGTATGTTTGGGTCCTCCCCCTAGAATGTAAACTCCCTGGAGTCAGGAACTTTATTTAGTTCACTGCTATCTTCTCAGTGCCTAGAACAATACCTCATACAGTGCAATCACTCAGTAAAAACTTGTCAAGTGAAAGAACATACCAAGAGACTTGGCAGCAAAAGAGAGAAAACAAATAACTCTGCCTGACTTCAGAGCTGGACCTTGAAGGATAAGTATGACTTTAATGAGTAAAGAATTTGCAGAGAAAGTAGTCCAGGGCAAAGAACCTGAGATTGCGAAGGCTCAGGGGGGTGTAAGTGCAGGACTAGCTGGGGGAGGGGCACGTCTGTGTAACTGGATCAGAGGGTAGGAGCTGGGGGCTGCTGGCCTTTTGCAGGTGGAATTCCCAGAGGCCCGGATCTTTGAGGAGACCTTGAACATCCTGATCTACGAGACTCCCCGGGGCCCAGACCCAGCCCTCCTGGAGGCCACAGGGGGTGCAGCTGGAGGTGGTGGGGCAGGCCGAGGGGAGGATGAGGAGAACCGAGAGCACCGTGTCCGCAGGATCCATGTCCGGCGCCACATCACCCACGACGAGCGTCCTCATGGCCAACAGATTGTCTTCAAGGACTGACCTTTGACCTTTCTCCCTGTTTTCCTCTTGCCACTGGAACCCAGTTCCTCTCTCTTTCCCTCCCTTTCCCATACCTTTGCCCCGGCTTTGCTGGCCAAGTCGTGGGCCCTCCTGTCCCTTCATTGCATGGTACAGTTCACTGTGGCCCTTTTCCATTCCCACCTCACTGCTAACAGCCGGTACATTCCAGCCCCCTCCCTAGGTCAGAGCCCTTCAGAAGGCCTGCATTTGTTCCCTTATCCCATTCTTGTCCCGCTCTTCCCTCACCAGCTGGTTTAGAGTGATTTAGAACTCCCTCTCTCCCTCTCTCTCTCCCTTTCTCTCTCTCTCTCAGCACATTGTATATGCCAAAGTGTCAAGCCAGCCCTTACTGACATCCACCATGTTCTGAGCCACCTCCCCACCGCTGTGCAGGGTAGTTTCCCTCCCTCCTCCTTCCCCCACCAGCCCCCCACCTCCTTAACTTTGTACTAGGCTGGCCTGGGCTTGCACCAGCTCAGCCATCTTCTCAATCTATTTCATATTATTTATTTTAATTTTCTATTAAATTATTGGAATAAAGTTGAGTTGAGGGTCTGGTGCTGGCTCCAGGGGAGAGGACTGGGGAGATGGCTTGTGTTAAGGAGGTACTTGGCTAGTTGGATGGGAGAGGACAGGAACTCCTGCCCAAAGCCTTGAGCTGTGCTGGTAGCTAGGAAAAGGTAGTCAGGAGTTAGGAGAGGATTTAAAATCTGTATTTCAGTGTTGGCTGGTCCGTTCCCAACCTCACCCCCCACCCCCCTCCCCGCAGTGGAGAGGAGGTCCTGGCTACCACTCAAGCCATCCCTGAGTGTAGCATCTCTCCAGCCCAGATGTCTGAAGGGAGCCCGTTCCTTCAAGGGTCTGGTGTGAAGACAAAGTCAAGGGCCTGGCGCTCAGCCCCAGCCACGTTGGGGTGCCAAAGGTCCACGATGAAGACCACTCGAGGCCCATCTTCCGGGGAGCCTAGGGCACATGGGGATGGAGACAAGAGAGCGGCTGACATTAATTACTCATATGCCAGAGCACTTGCCACATAACTCGTAACAGCAAACACTTCGTAAACAAGGCCAGGTACTGTTCTAACCCCTTATATGTGTTAACTCTTAAATCATCAAAGCAAACTGAGAGTACCATGATTATTCCCATTTTATACAAAGTAACTGAAGCACAAAGAGATTAAACAACTTGCCCAAGGTCACACAGCTAGTCAGTGCCAGGAGTAGGATAGGAACCCAGGTGGTCCAGGCCCAGGGTCTTGTGCTCTTAACCACTTTGCTATGCACCTACATTAACTTACTTAGTCCTTGCAGTCACCTGATAAAGAAGGTGATTGCCTCATTTCACAGGTGTTTGGGGTGGTTATATGACTCGTTCAAGGGCATGCAGCTGGAAAATGATGGTGCTAGGACAGGAAGCCCGTTGGGCTTGATTCTGCAGTCTTATTCCTTTCACTCAGTCTCTCATCCCTCCTAGCAGAGCGGGAGCTCATTACCATTATGAGCCACTGTGTGCAGGAACGAGTCGTCCACCAATAGACAGTGTCCCTCAGCCCAGCACTGGGGCTCGCCCCCAACCACCAGCTCACAGCCAGGAGGAATCTTCAGGCCTGTGGAAAGAGACCCGGGCATCCAACACCACTGCTTCCATCAAATGGGCCCACCCCATTCAGTCAAAATGCAGATTTGCAGGTCTTAAACACCCCATGTAGTGTCCCTCCTTGCTCTCTGGAAGGTGACCCAAATGTAATTACGATATAGTATAAACTGAAGTGCTGGGAGATACAGGAAAGGCAGTGCAAAGCACAATCTATTTGTTTCAGAGAAAAGGGAAGGCTCCCTGGAGGAAGTGACATCTTTTCTTGGGCTTCTGCCAGTTTAACTCAAGAACCTACTTAATGTGTGCAAGGTCCTCATTCGTATAATACTGATGGATCCACTTTGGCCCCAGGACCACAACACAGTAGAGTGCTGTGAGAAAAGTGATCAGCGACTCAAATGATGGGGAATAGTTAGATCTCCCATAGGCGGTGCGGCACTTGAAAGTGGAGTCCTGAAGGCTGAGTAGGATTTTTTCCAGGAGGTGATAAAGGAGAAAGACATTCTAGGCTGATAGCATGAGCGTGGCATCTGCCAGGATCAGCCAGAAGGCTCCCATGATTTAACACATGGTGGGAGGGAAGGGAAAGAAGGGAACAGGTGGGAGATGAAGAGAGAAGGAATCTGGACTTGATCCTGAGGCCAGTGTGCTTTGAAGAGAAGGGCACATCAAACTGGTAGCACACAAAATGCTCTTAGGCAAAACAAGGTTTTAAGTAACACTACATTAAATAACAAAAATGTTTCCTTTTCCGTTTTCCTTCAGCCTTTAAACCATGAAGAAGAGAATCTCAGTTTTGTGCTACCATAACTTTAACACCCCCCTAACACTGCCCCCTTCTAAAGGAAGAGAGTGGAGGCTTCAGTCTCAGAGAGACTATTTAGCTAGAATTTTTAAAGGTTGCTTCTCTTTTTAAGTTAAAATTTGTTTTTATGAGTCCTTTCTATTTAGAGCAAGCAATACTGATTATCATTGTTCTATAGAGATTCCTTTTAAATAAGTAAGTGAGGCAAAATGTAGGGAGAATCAGTATCGAGAAAGACAGTACAGGTGGAAAATGACCATGGCAAAGCTTATGAAGATGGGTTGCAGGTAACTGAAACTCAGGAAATGCTGTGGGCAACAGGGAGTCATAGAAGACTTCTGAGAAGAGAGGTATGATCAGAACCATAATGTAGAAAGCTCTAGTGGCAGAGAAGAGTCTGGAGGAAGAACTGTGGAGGCAAAGAGGTTGTCTATAGGCAGCATCTACTTACCCAGATGGCATCTGACCCGGGCATTGGTGGGCCCACAGCGACCCTCAAGCCGGGCCCCAGGCAGGAGGACAGAAAAGCCAGCATTGCCGAAGGTGTTGGCACTCATAAAACTCCGCAGCCCCCTCAGTGCCCGATAGGCCCCCGGGCACCGGCGGCAGTTGCTGGGTTGGCACCGGCCTGCTTGGTACAGCAGGAGCTGGTAGCACCCAGGGGCCAGGGGTGGGGACCAGCCCCGAGGCAGAGGAGTTGTCCCTGAGAAGTCCCAGCTCACAGCCCCAAAGTCCCGCAAAATGGCAGGGAAGCTGCTCTCCAGGAGCTCCACATCATGCCGCTGGGCATCCCGTGGCACAAAGGGGACTGAAGGCAGATCTGGCAGGAAAAGCAGGCCTGGGCGCTGAATGCCCAGGACCCCTGGCCCTCCCCCAGGGCCTGGGCCACCTTGAGCTGCCCTCCTCACCCTACCCATGCCCGCCCAGGAGTAGCGCCTGGCGTAGGCCCGCAGGCGACGGCTCACTAGGCCTTCTGTCCTGGGTCCTTCCCCAGGCTCCCCAGAGCTCCCTGGGCTTGGCCTGCCAGTTACAGAGCATCCCCTAGGCCCTCCGCTGACACCCCCAGCCCGACTCCCAGCCCCCAGGGCCTGCATGTCTTGGGAGCCCAGACGGTAACAGTACCAGAGGAAAAGGGAAGTGAGGGCTCCAAGGAGCAGGGTTAGGGCTGAGGAGGCCAGGGGCGATGGCCATGTAGGCATGATGGGCAGGGAGGCCCTGGCCAGGAGGTCTGGGGCATCTTCTAGACCCCAGTTCCCCTGTCCCCCCAGTTCTCCACCGGTTCCCTCTGTGGCTGCGCCAGGGTTACCCCCTGGGCTGTTTCCCCTCCACATTTCCCACTCTTGGTTCTGTCTCCTTCTGAGGTCTTCTCTTCGCCTTCTAGCTCCCTCTTTCTCACCTCCTTCAAATACCTCCAACCCTCCTTTCTCTTTCTTCCCTTCTATCTCTTCTACCTCTTTTTTCTCCTTCAACTCTGTCCTCTTCTCTCCCCCCCACCCCCTCTCCTTTCTCCTTCCGGCAGTTTCCTCTCTCCTTCAGCCTCTCCTTTCCCCACTCTCTCTGTCTCCCCCTCTCCTTTCTCCTGTCTTCCCTCTCCTCCCCCCGCGCCTCTTGTAGCTCTCCCTCCCTTCTAGCTTCCCCGGACAGCAGTTCCTACCCCACCTGGACCCGCAGCCCCGGGAACCCGCAACCAGTCGTCCTCCGCAGCGGCTTCTCTGTCTCCTTCCTCCCCCTTCTCCCCTTCTGCCCTCGCTTCTCATTCGACCCGACCCGCGGGTCTTTCTCCCTCTCTCCCTCTCTCCTTCTCCTTCTCCTTCTCCCTCTCCCTCTCTCCCCCCTCCCTTCCTCTCTCCTACTCGTTCCTTCCTTGGCTCCCACTCACCCTGACGTCACCCCTCCCCACAGTCCTCTCAGCTTAGCTACCCCCGCCCCCACCCAGTGGCAGCCGCATCTCAGCCGGGATGGGGGGGGTCGTCTCCGGATTTGCCTCCCCGCCCCGACGGGGCGCCACGTGGGGCGCAGGGGGCACTGTGCCAACCGCCGGCCGCCCCGCAATGCGAAAAGAAGGGGCGGGGGCTGAGGGAGGGGCGTGGCAAGACAAGGGGCGGGGCGGGCGCGCGGACTGATGGACGTGGCCAGCGCTCGCGGACTGAGGACTGGGACGCTGCAGCCGGTCCACAGGTCTGCAGATTCCTTGACCAGTCGGCCTGTGACTCCCCTCCCCCTCCTCCTTCACTAGAGCCAGCCCCCAGCGGGAGCCTGATAGTGAGGGTGGCTTCAGCCAATCGCGGGCGGTGCGGGGGGCCGGGCCCGCTCGGGCTGGGCTGAGAAGAGCTGTCCGCAGGCTGGTGGTGCTGAAAAGGGCGCCCCAGAGGCGTTGTGAGAGAGACGAGGAGAAAAAAAAAAAATCAAAGTTGAAGCCGCCTGGGCCCTGGCCGGGGTCATGAATGTAAGGGAAGGGGTTTCCCCTCCCCAGATCCCGGCCTGTCGCCCCTTCGACTTCTCATAAACATGGGAACTTGCCATTCTCCTGGAGGAGGGGAGCCCATTTCACATGAGCTATAAAAGAGAAAAGGGAAATCCTGTGGGGGGTGGGGGTCCTGGATGTGGGTAGGGGGCATATTGGGGAGCTGAGCAAGCGTGAACCCAGCTGTGCCACCCCTCGGCACCCTGGGAAGAGGAGATTCAGATTCCAGATGTGCTGGAAAGGCTGGGGGAAGAGGTTGTAATTACAGCTAGGACCAGAGTTTCCTTTGCCTCCCCTAGGGGCCGCGGGAGTGAGGATTACGGTCTGGCTCATGTGGTCCCTCCTTCCTCCATCTGCACTTCCTCCTTCTCCCTCACCCCCCCCAACGTCGCCCCCAAATAAATCCCGGCCCCTCCCTTCGCCCGTCCCCAGGATCTGACGTGGGTTCAACACCTTTCTCAGCTTCTCCCTCCCGCAGCTCCAGTGCCCGAGCGTCGGCTCTCCGGGTTCCGCAACCCTGTCCCCTCCCCGCCAAGCCCCGCTAGAGCACAGTAGGGACCCTCCTGATCCTCGACCCCACCCCAGACCCCCTGAAGCTGTCTTGCCTCCCCCTACTCCTCCAATTTGGGATCCAGCCAGCTCGGGGCCCCAGGCGCCCGAGTGAGAGGGTAACCCAAGCGACCCGGCCCCTTCGGCCTTCTTGGTCCCACCCCCTGCAGCCGGAGCCGCGCCCCCTCTCCCACAGACCCGAGAGCAGAAGACAGAGGAGACTGGGCAAGGAGGAGTGGGATCCAGGCGACCTCCAGCCCAATTCTGCCCCTCCATCCCAAGGGACAGAGAAATTGTCTTTCTTGCTAACTGCTAGCAGGAAAAAAAAATTAAAGGGAAAGATAAAAGGAGACGGAGGAAAGGTGACAGCTAGATTATTCAGGAGAGGCGCAGAGGAGAGAAATCGGTGTGAGTCGCCATGGGGACTCCCAGGGTCCAGCACCCGCCGCCTCCCCAGCTGCTGTTCCTAATTCTGCTGAGCTGTCCCTGGATTCAGGGTAAGGACATGGGAGCGTGGGGGTAGGCCCTGGGAAGGTCCTCAGCTGGGTCGTCTACCATCCTTTCTCTGCACATCCTGGGCTTTCCGAGCTTCTGGGGGAGGGGAGGGGTACAGCTGATGGGGAAGGGGCAAGCCAGGGCTTTCTCGCTTGTGCCTGGAGCCCTAACCCCCCATACTGAGGAGGTGGGGAAATGAAAGAGGGGAGCTTTTGCCAGAGTCTCGGGGGTTAAATCCAGGAAGAAGGGCTGGGGCAGTTGGGGGGGATGTCTGCGGAGGCGGCAGAAGCATGCAGGGTACCTGGGTGGGAGATGGAGGTGCTGGGAGAAATGCCAGGCACCGCACACACAAACGTTCTTGGACGTATGGACAAAGACAGATGCACAGAGGCAGTGCTCAGAGACCAGATATTCAGTCCTCTAATCTGACCCCTCGCCAGACTCCCGGGAAGCTGGCAGAGACTGCAGAGAAAGAGAGAGAGAGAGAGAGAGAGAGAGGGAGAGAACACCACACTGCAGAGACAGAAACCCAGAAAAAAGCTGGGCACTGCGGAAGCAAGGGCTGGGAGGTGCTGCCAGACCCTCCGCAGAGCTCCAGGGTTGGGGGAAGAGCACCACTGAGGGGGAAAGGTAGGTAGCACTGTTGCACCTCTCCACACTGCTGGCGCTGTCCAGGGTTCACTGAAGGTCCACACAGCCTGGGAGGAAAGAGAGAGGAAGGTGTAGGAGTGTGTGCGGGCAGCTGGGAGCCCCTCCTCCAATCTTGGCTCTCAGCCCAGTCTGGGACCCTCTGAGCTCCTGCAGACCCAGCTGACTGAGGAGAGAGGAAGAGCTCTGGAAAAGATCTTTCTGGAGAAGGAAGGAGTGTGGGGCAGTGGAAGGACTCACACAACTTCGTCTCCTAGGTCTGCCCCTGAAGGAAGAAGAGGTACTGCCAGAGCCTGGAAGTGAGGCCCCCACAGTAGCCTCTGAGGCTTTGGCCGAGCTGCTCCATGGGGCCCTGCTGAGGAGGGGTCCAGAGATGGGCTACCTGCCGGGTGAGGCCCCCAGAGTGGCAAGAGTGACATACAGAGAGGGAGGGAATTAACTCAGGGAAATGGGAACCCAAGCCGGTGACATTCAGACAGTGATGGTTAGAGAGTGCTGAAACTGGGCGTAGACAGAGAACCAGGGAAATTGAGACAGAATGAGCAAGAGACAGAGCCAGACAGAAAAACAGACCATCAGAGAGAAATACAGATGGAAACTCAGAGAACCAGACTCAGGAATAGGGGGGAGAGAAACACAGAGAGAGAAAGAGAGAAATGCAGAGGGTAGCAGATTTAGAGTCATAAAGTCAGAGAGCCAGGAGAATACTAAACAGAGAAGAGTTCGAGAGTGAGCAAGAGAAAGAGAGAGGAGAGAGAAAGGGGTATGCAGGAAGGGGAGTCGGATCTGAACGGGGAGGCATGGAGAGGCTCAAGGAGACTGTCAGAGTGGAAGGGCCTAGGCACAGAGGTAGGGAGGGATGTGGGGTCAGGCCGTGGAAGCCCTGGGAGGAGGCTCAGAGTTCGGGTGGGAAGACAGAGGTGGGGGAACTGCACCTTGTGGGGGAGGTCTTTGGGGTTCAGTGGGGGCGACCCCCGTTTCCCTCAGCCCTGCTCCCTACCCGTGGCCCACCAATATGCTCCTTCCGTGCCCTGACTTCCCTTGCACTGTCCCAGGATCTGATCCAGACCCCACACTAGCCACCCCTCCAGCCGGCCAGACTCTTGCAGCGCCCTCCCTGCCACGGGCCACTGAGCCAGGGACAGGGCCTCTGACAACAGCCGTAACCCCTAAAGGGGGCAGGGGGGCAGGCCCCACCGCGCCAGAGCTGCTGACCCCGCCCCCAGGAACTACGGCCCCGCCCCTTCCCGGCCCCGCCTCCCCAGGCCCACCCCTCGGGCCTGAGGGAGGAGAGGAGGAGACCACGACCACCATTATCACCACGACAACTGTTACCACCACTGTGACCAGTCCAGGTGAGGCGATTGAAAAGGGAGGGGGACAGTGTGAAGTAGAGTATGAATGTGGGAGAGGAGCGGATATGCAGGGGGAGAGGCTGCCGGGAACGTGTGGAAGAAGGGGTCTGGGCTTCTCCTCAATAATAATGAAGGCTGGCATTTATATACCCTTGCTATGCACCAACACCTTTCTATGTGTTTTATCTACATGATGGTTGGGGAGGGGAGTTGTGGGCACGGGAGGGGGGAGTGGTGGGAGAGGGAGCACTGGATAAAGGGGGTGGGGGTGCTAGGGACAAGACAGGTGAGGACCCCAGAGTTGCTTGGCTGGGAGGGGGAGAACACAGGGATTCTCCCAACTCCAGCCACTTCTATCTCTTTAGTTCTGTGTAATAACAACATCTCTGAGGGCGAAGGGCATGTGGAGTCTCCAGATTTGGGGAGCGCTGCCAGCCGCACCTTGGGGCTCCTGGACTGCACATACAGCATCCATGTCTACCCTGGCTATGGCATTGAGATCCAGGTAACTGGACTTTGAGGCCCCCAAGCCCTTTCCTCTAGGCCCAGGGGTGTGCAAAGCTTTGGCCTGGGAACCAGAGAACCTGCTTTCTAACTCTAATGGGCCTGTTTTCTGAGGATCTCAATGACTCCTAGAGTTCTGTAATTTGACCAATGTCACGGTGATATTTGGCTTCCACATACAGGGGAAAGAAAGGCAAAGGGTGGGGGACTTAGGGGTCACCTACCCGAGCTGACTTATCCTGGGGGGGGTGGGTCTGGGTCTGGCTTCTCTAGGTGCAGACGCTGAACCTGTCTCGGGAGGAAGAACTCCTGGTGCTGGCTGGTGGGGGGTCCCCGGGCCTGGCCCCCCGACTCCTGGCCAACTCCTCCATGCTGGGAGAAGGACAGGTCCTTAGGAGTCCAACCAACCGGCTGCTCCTGCACTTTCAGAGTCCACAGGTCCCAAGGGG